AGAATATTATATTGCAAAATGCCTGGCCTTCCTTGAAATTCACATCTGCCCTGTGATCCAAAGGCACTCGTGGCAATGTGGTAGAGTGGTTAGCGTGTCGAGCTCCCATTCTGCACTGTCGCGGTTCGAGTCCCGTTGAGAGTGTTGATGAGAACGATGCGAGGTCGAAACTGCAGTCCACTGGTGCGTGGATGAGAACATCTTTTGGGAAAGCAAGGCAATGTGAAATTCCCTGGAAACGTCAGCTCAACTCATACCATTGTGGGAAAATTCGACTACCAGTCCTTGATTACTTTCAACGAAATAGAGTGAATACATATCATATAACTGATTTACTGGTAGTCTCGGAACTCTACTTATATACAAAAAATAAATTCCTGGTTGCCAGGATGGTCACTATGGCGTGTCCGTGTGGGATCAGGGAATTGATAAAAGGATACTCGGCCAAGGCCTTGGCGGCAAATGGCCATTTGAGCAGGCGACAGATCTGCAGGCCGGAGGCCACGACCACTTTGCTTTGCCCCAGCCACCGTTCGACCCGACGCCAAAGTCCCCGAGGCACCGGACAACCCTGCGTTGCGCCGGCGGCACTGAAGCCTCGACGACGGAGTCGCTTAGGCCGCGGCATGAGCCAGCGCAGCCGGCTGCCTCGAGACCGAGGCATCTGGCCGGAACGTGGCGTCATTCTTTGCACTCGGCCCAGGAGACTGCCCGTCGAGGCGGTGGAGAGGAAGCCGACGGCCTGGCTCGAGCGAATCGCGTCTGTCGGTGAGTCCGACTCCTCGCGGAGGCTGTCTGCGGGTTGGGCGCCCGAGCCCCAGTTGTGGGGACTCGAGCTGGAGCTGGTCGAGACGGAGGAGTCGAGAATGCTGCCGGCGCCAGAGAGCGAAGCCGAGGTGTTGACAGACAGCGAAGTGGTCACCTCATCATCGGAAGTGGCTAAAGCGTCCAGCTCTCGCCCGAGTCGGTGGGTCGAGTCGAAAGACGACCGAAACTCACCAGTATCACTGGTGGCCGTGGTAGCCGAGGCAACAGAGCTCTGTCGGGCCTCGGTCAACAGGGTTGAAGTGCTCGATTTGGCGGGAGGCAGACGACAAGCCGTGATCGGATGCAACCAGTCCAGCTCACGTCCTACTCGTTCCGAGGCGGAGGGACTGGGACTGGGACTGGGACTGGGACTGGGACTGGGACTTCGACTGGGACTTGGACTGGA